TAATTGGGCTTTTTTAGTTAAGAGTTTTTATTTTCTGCCACAGAATGTTCAAAAGAGAGTCAAAACACAGCTGTAATTGTAAGTCCTCCATCACCAGACCGACCTCCTCATTCGCAAGCCTCTGGCTCCTGTTATTATCATGTCATCTCAAAGGTCCCTAGGATTCGAACACCCAGTTATTCTCCAGCACAGAGATCCCCTGGCTGTCGACCATTGCCTTCTGCAGGTGAAAGACTTTATTGACCTACTTGACCTAAGAAGATCAGCCCAAAGATTAAATTATAATTCTTTCAGGCAGCTTTATCTTGGTGACTTTTACTGACTGAAACTGTAGATTTCAGCCAGGCGTGGTGGCTCACACCTGTAATCCCAGCACTTTTGAAGGCTGAAGCGGGTGGATCACCTGAGGTCAAGAGTTTGAGACCAGCCTGGCCAACATAGTGAAACCCTGTGTCTACTAAAAATACAAAAATCAGCTGGGTGTGGCAGCGCATGCCTGTAATCCCAGCTACGTGGGAGGCTGAGGCAGGAGAATTGCTGGAACCCCGGAGGGCAGAGGTTGTAGTGAGCCGAGATTGTGCCACTGTACTCCAGCCTGGGTGACAGAGTGAGATACTGTCTCAAAAAATAAGTAAATAAATAGAAAATGTAGATTTCCAGTTACCTATAAATATATATAGCCAAATCATTGAAACCAGTGACTTCTACATATTTGTTCTATCTACAATAGCATTTATTACTTTCTCTCTCTCTTTTTTAGGAAGTCCTACTCCAACCACTCATGAAATAGTCACAGTGGGCGATCCTCTACTCTCCTCTGGACTTCGAAGCATTGGCTCCAGACGTCACAGTACCTCTTCCTTATCACCCCAGCGGTCCAAACTCCGGATAATGTCTCCAATGAGAACTGGGAATACTTACTCTAGGAATAGTGTTTCCTCAGTCTCCACCGTTGGGACCGCTTCTGATCTTGAATCAAGTGCCAAAGCAGTTGATCATGTCTTAGGGCCACTGAATTCAAGTACTAGTTTAGGGCAGAACACTTCCACCTCTTCAAATTTGCAAAGGACTGTGGTTACCATAGGCAATAAAAACAGTCACTTGGATGGATCTTCATCTTTAGAAATGAAGCAGTCCAGTGCTTCAGATTTGGCAACCAAGAGCTCCTCTTTAAAGGGAGAGAAGACCAAAGCGCTGAGTTCCAAGAGCTCAGAAGGATCTGCGCATAATGTGGCTTACTCTGGAATTCCTAAACTGGCCCCGCAGGTTCATAACACAGCATCTAGAGAACTGAATGTTAGTAAAATTGGCTCCTTTGCTGAGCCTTCTTCGGTGTCATTTTCTTCTAAAGAGTCCCTCTCCTTCCCACAACTCCATTTGAGGGGGCAAAGGAATGATCGAGACCAACACGCAGATTCTACCCAATTAGCAAACCCCTCTCCAGATGAAGATACTGAAGTCAAAACCTTGAAGCTATCTGGAATGAGCAACAGGTCATCCATTATCAATGAACATATGGGATCTAGTTCCAGAGACAGGAGACAGAAAGGGAAAAAATCTTGTAAAGAAACTTTCAAAGAAAAGCATTCCAGTAAATCTTTTTTGGAACCTGGTCAGGTGACAACTGGTGAGGAAGGAAACCTGAAGCCAGAGTTTATTGATGAAGTTTTGACTCCTGAATATATGGGCCAACGACCATGTAACAATGTTTCTTCTGATAAGATTGGTGATAAAGCCATTTCTATGCCAGGAGTCCCCAAAGTTCCATCCATGCAAGTAGAAGGATCTACCAAGGAATTACAGGCACCGCGGAAACGCACAGTCAAAGTGACCCTGACACCTCTAAAAATGGAAAATGAGAGTCAATCCAAAAACGCCCTGAAAGAAAGTAGTCCTGCTTCCCCTTTGCAAATAGAGTCAACATCTCCCACAGAACCAATTTCAGCCTCTGAAAATCCAGGAGATGGTCCAGTGGCCCAACCAAGCCCCAATAATACCTCATGCCAGGATTCTCAAAGCAACAACTATCAGAATCTTCCAGTACAGGACAGAAACCTAATGCTTCCAGATGGCCCCAAACCTCAGGAGGATGGCTCTTTTAAAAGGAGGTATCCCCGTCGCAGTGCCCGTGCACGTTCTAACATGTTCTTTGGGCTTACCCCACTCTATGGAGTAAGATCCTATGGTGAAGAAGACATTCCATTCTACAGCAGCTCAACTGGGAAGAAACGAGGCAAGAGATCAGCTGAAGGACAGGTGGATGGGGCTGATGACTTAAGCACCTCAGATGAAGATGACTTATACTATTACAACTTCACTAGAACAGTGATTTCTTCAAGTGGAGAGGAACGACTGGCATCCCATAATTTATTTCGGGAGGAGGAACAGTGTGATCTTCCAAAAATTTCACAGTTGGATGGTGTTGATGATGGGACAGAGAGTGATACTAGTGTCACAGCCACAACAAGGAAAAGCAGCCAGATTCCAAAAAGAAACAGTAAAGAAAATGGAACAGAGAACTTAAAGATTGATCGACCTGAAGATGCTGGGGAGAAAGAACATGTCATTAAGAGTTCTGTTGGCCACAAAAATGAGCCAAAGATGGATAACTGCCATTCTGTAAGCAGAGTTAAAACACAGGGACAGGATTCCTTGGAAGCTCAGCTCAGCACATTGGAGTCAAGCCGCAGAGTCCACACAAGCACCCCCTCAGACAAAAATTTGCTAGATACCTATAATACTGAGCTCCTGAAATCAGATTCAGACAATAACAATAGTGATGACTGTGGGAATATCCTGCCTTCGGACATTATGGACTTTGTACTAAAGAATACTCCATCCATGCAAGCTTTGGGTGAGAGCCCAGAGTCGTCATCATCAGAACTCCTGAATCTTGGTGAAGGTTTGGGTCTTGACAGTAATCGTGAAAAAGATATGGGTCTTTTTGAAGTATTTTCTCAGCAGCTGCCTACAACAGAACCTGTGGACAGTAGTGTCTCTTCCTCTATCTCAGCAGAGGAACAGTTTGAATTGCCTCTAGAGCTACCATCTGATCTCTCTGTCTTGACCACCCGGAGTCCCACTGTCCCAAGCCAGAATCCCAGTAGACTAGCTGTAATCTCAGACTCGGGGGAGAAGAGAGTAACCATCACAGAAAAATCTGTAGCCTCCTCTGAAGGTGACCCAGCGCTGCTGAGCCCAGGAGTAGATCCAGCTCCTGAAGGCCACATGACTCCTGATCATTTTATCCAAGGACACATGGATGCAGACCACATCTCTAGCCCTCCTTGTGGTTCAGTAGAGCAAGGTCATGGCAACAATCAGGATTTAACTAGAAGCAGTAGCACCCCTGGCCTTCAGGTACCTGTTTCCCCAACTGTTCCTATCCAGAACCAGAAGTATGTGCCCAATTCTACTGATAGTCCTGGCCCGTCTCAGATTTCCAATGCAGCTGTTCAGACCACTCCACCCCACCTGAAGCCAGCCACCGAGAAACTCATAGTTGTTAACCAGAACATGCAGCCACTTTATGTTCTCCAAACTCTTCCAAATGGAGTCACCCAGAAAATCCAATTGACCTCTTCCGTCAGTTCTACACCCAGTGTGATGGAGACAAATACTTCAGTATTGGGGCCCATGGGAAGTGGTCTCACCCTAACCACGGGACTGAATCCAAGCTTGCCAACTTCTCAATCTTTGTTCCCTTCTGCTAGCAAAGGATTGCTACCCATGTCTCATCACCAGCACTTACATTCCTTCCCTGCAGCTACTCAAAGTAGTTTCCCACCCAACATCGGCAATCCTCCTTCAGGCCTGCTTATTGGAGTTCAGCCTCCTCCAGATCCCCAACTTTTAGTTTCAGAATCCAGCCAGAGGACAGACCTCAGTACCACAGTGGCCACTCCATCCTCCGGACTCAAGAAAAGACCCATATCTCGTCTACAGACCCGAAAGAATAAGAAACTTGCTCCCTCTAGTACCCCTTCAAACATTGCTCCTTCCGATGTTGTTTCTAATATGACATTGATTAACTTCACACCCTCCCAGCTTTCTAATCCCAATCTGTTAGATTTGGGGTCACTTAATACTTCCTCTCACCGAACTGTCCCCAACATCATAAAAAGATCTAAATCTAGCATCATGTATTTTGAACAGGCACCCCTGTTACCACAGAGTGTGGGAGGAACTGCTGCCACAGCGGCAGGCACATCAACAATAAGCCAGGATACTAGCCACCTCACATCAGGGTCTGTGTCTGGCTTGGCATCCAGTTCCTCTGTCTTGAATGTTGTATCCATGCAAACTACCACAACCCCTACAAGTAGTGCATCAGTTCCAGGACATGTCACCTTAACCAACCCAAGGTTGCTTGGCACCCCAGATATTGGCTCAATAAGCAATCTTTTAATCAAAGCAAGCCAGCAGAGCCTGGGGATTCAGGAGCAGCCTGTGGCTTTACCACCAAGTTCAGGAATGTTTCCACAACTGGGGACATCACAGACTCCCTCTACTGCTGCAATGACCGCAGCATCTAGCATCTGTGTGCTCCCCTCCACTCAGACTACGGGCATAACAGCTGCTTCACCTTCTGGGGAGGCAGACGAACACTATCAGCTTCAGCACGTGAACCAGCTCCTTGCCAGCAAATCTGGGATGCATTCTTCCCAGCGTGATCTTGATTCTACTTCAGGGCCCCAGGTATCCAACTTTACCCAGACAGTAGACACTCATAATAGTGTGGGTCTGGAGCAGAACAAGGCTTTATCCTCAGCTGTGCAAGCAAGCTCCACCTCTCCTGGGGGTTCTCCATCCTCTCCATCCTCTGGACAGCGGTCAGCAAGCCCTTCAGTGCCAGGTCCCACTAAATCCAAACCAAAAATCAAACGGATTCAGCCGCCTCTAGACAAAGGGAATGGCAAGAAGCACAAAGTTTCCCATTTGCGGACCAGTTCTTCTGAAGCACACATTCCAGACCAAGAAGCAACATCCCTGACCTCAGGCACAGGGTGAGAGAGCCAAATACTAGCTATGCTGGGTCTGTGGGATTTCATGCTGGAAACTAGGGGCTGTTAATGTGGTAGCCTTCTAGGAGAGACACTCTTCTGTTCAAGCTGCATTACTTGGGAGTTTTCTGGGTTTTGACTTTCTTTCTCTCTGAGTGGTTATGTATATAGCAAAATGTAGTTCCATCCATGGGCAGTTTGTCTCTTGGATAGAACCACATCTCTCATTACTTTTTGCCCTGATTTTAAACAATGTTGCTGTTTGCTCCTGTTTCTTTTTTACTGGGGCTTATACTAGGGAATGATTATTCTTATCTTGAGGGCAAAGCTCCCTATTGTAGATCCACATAGGGTCCTTTTTTTAAAACTTTATCATTGAAAGCCAAGGACAGTGGCTCGTGTCTGTATCCCAGCGCTATGGAAGGCTGAGGCAGAAGGACTGCTTGAGCTCAGGAGATCAAGATCAGCCTGTGCAACATAGTGAGACCCTGTCTAAACAACAAAAAATTTAAAACATTAGCTGGGTGTGGTGTTGCACATCTGTAGCCCTAGCTATTCAGGAGGCTGAAGTGGGAGGATTGCTTGAGCCTAAGAGTTAGAGGCCAAATGAGCCATGGTCATACCATTGCACTGCAGCCTAGGTGAAGTGCACCTATGTAGCCACCACTCAGATCAAGATACAGAACATTTATAGCAACCCAGAAGGCCCTTGTGCCCCCTCAAACTATTCGAACCTTTATGACCTTAGGTCAGTTTTCTGGCTCATAGACTTTATCAGATCCTGATAGAGCCATCTCTTTGACCCACCTCCACATTTGGTATATATTTACTGGTTGTATTTTTTTAAAAGATACAAATGCCTGTGTTCCAGGACTCCAGGAGCAGAGGCTGAGCAGCAAGATACAGCTAGTGTGGAGAAGTCCTCCCAGAAGGAGTGTGGGCAGCCTGCAGGGTAAGCTGAAGAATTTGTCCTTTAAGACGAAACTCAGTTTTGTCCACCTCATTTAAAAAATAATTCTTCCTGATTCACATTGATAATTGTTTTCTTGCCAAAGTTTTTTTTTTTTTTTTTTGCTGCTCCAGTCAACCAAAGGGACACTTTATTGAGGCTCCAGGGCCATGGGGCCTGGGCAGGAGGCTGCCCTTCCAGGAAGGAAGAGGTTTATTTGACCTTCTTCCTGGGCGCAGGTTGTTGGTGTGGCCACACTTCCTCTTGCGGCAGTTGACAGCACAGTGGTGCAGGCGAGCATAGCATTTGCGGCAGATCATCTTGTCGCAGTTGTATTTCTGGGCAAGCTGGTGGAGGGAAGGCTCAATGCCACCTCGCAGGCACAGTACCAGGTGCAGGGTGGACTCTTTCTGGATGTTGTAGTCTGAGAGCGTGCGGCCATCCTCTAGCTCTTTGCTGGCAAATATCAGATGCTGCCAGTCAGGTGGGATACCCTTCTTGTCTTGAATTTTGGCTTTGACATTCTCAATGGTGTCACTGGGCTCGACCTCAAGGGTGGTGGTCTTGCCTGTGAGGGTCTTCACAAAGATCTGCATCTCTGCGTCTGCAACTCGGCCACCTCTCTGAAGAAAAAAAGCCAAAGTTTTTTTAATTAGGAATAATACAGGCTTGTAAACAAACAAACAAAAAAACCACAGAATAATTGTTTAAATAATTAATTATTTAATTCCCTAGAGGTGGTGATTAGCAATAACAGATAACAGAAGATAACAAAGATAAAAACAAATTATTAGCAATGGCCACCTCTAGGGAATAATCTATGCAGACACTTCTATGCATATACAGATATACATGGTATATATATGAATATGTTTACACTTTTTTACATAGAGGAATACTGTACAGACTGTTTTGTATTTGATTTTTCACTTATGTACATCTTTCTGTGTCAATACATATAGGTGTGCTTCACTTTTTAAATAGCTGCCTCCAATTCTGTTGTATGAACCTACAGTAATTTAATGAGTCTTAATTGATATACATTTGAATTGTTTCCAGAATTTATTTAGTTTTAAAAAGTAAAAATTGGGGCTGGGCACAGTGGCTCATGCCTGTAATCCCAGCACTTTGGGAGGCCAAGGCAGGAGGATTGCTTGAGCCTAGAGTTTGAAACCAACCTTGGCAACACAGGGAGACCCTATTTCTACAAAAATTAAAAACTAGCCAGGCACAGTGGTGCACATCCACAGTCCGAGCTACTCAGGAGGCAAAGGTTGGAGGATTGCTTGAGCCTGGGAGTTGGAGGATGCAGCAAGCTGTGATTGCATCACTGTACTCCAGCCCGGACAACAAAGTGAGACCCTATCTCAAAAAAAGAATGTGAAAATTGATGGTGGTTTATAAGCTTATGGAGCTTATTTTTTGTTTTTAGTTAAACAAAAATAAGCTAACTTATTTAAGTAATTTTAGAATTGCTTCTAACAAGTGTCCATTCATTTTTTTCTAATACTAACAGTATGAGAAGAATTTCAAGGGCATAATTTATAACTTTAAAAGCAGAAACTTAATGTCAGTATTTAGTAAAGAATCTCATGAAAGAGTTTTATTTTGGAAGGGGTGAAAAAAATAAAAATTAAAAAAAAGAAAGAGTTTGATGTTGTGGTTGTATTTATTCAGCAAGTTCTACAGAAAGTCCCCTGTGGTTCATTTTCTAGCAGTTACTTTGTATACCAGAGCTGCATAGCAAATTATGAATGTTTTCCTTTGAAGTGAAGAACTAGCTGCTATTATATCTTACATTTGGTTTTTATTTAGGCAAGTGGCTGTTCTTCCGGAAGTTCAGGTGACCCAAAATCCAGCAAATGAACAAGAAAGTACAGGTATGTGGGCAGGTAACAGGTTAGAATCAGAGAATATCAATGCTAAAAGGACAATGAAAATCACCCACTTTCCTGGGCGCAGTGGCTTATGCCTGTAATCCTAGCACTTTGAGAGGCCAAGGTGGGTGGATCATCTGAGGTCAGGAGTTCAAGACCAGCCTGGCCATTATAGAGAAACCCCATCTTAAAAAAAAAAAAAAATCACCCACTTTACCTACTTGTCTACTACATTAAAAAAAAAAAAAAATCCAAGCTCCAAAGAAGTTAAGTGATTTGGCCAAAGTTGGAGACTGAAACCTGGTACACCTGTCTCCTGGTGCAGTGTTCTTCCAGTATGTATCTGTGATCACCTGTCAGCTAAGGACTCAAGACAATACCCATACTCTTCTACTGTACTGGTTTTACGAGCACTGAGGTGTGAATAGCTAGTCATAACCTCACTTCACTTTTTAGTTGTCACTAAAGAAAACTCAGAACCATTTTTATTAGATAGTCAGATTTTGGTTGTAATACTGGATACATCTCCATAGCATTTTCCATCAGTTCTAATGAATTTGATTAGGAAACAAATGGTCACTTCAAGATTAGGGAGTTTTGGGTATAACTCAGAGGACAGTTGCTTATGGGAAAACTATCAGATTGCCATACCTGAAATTCTACCACAGAGACCGCATAACTTCATATAAAAAAAAAAATCTGGTTTTAGTCACTACTTTCTGTCAATGACCTAGGCAAGTTCTTTGAGCCTTGGGTTTGTTATCTATCAATGGGAATAATAAACCAACTGCGGAATGTTGTTAGGCTCAGAGATCATTTATGTAAAACACTCTACACCTAGTCAGTGCTCAGTAAGCATTTGTAACTGCAACCACTTTGGCCCCTATTTTCTCCCTCTTAGAACCTAAAACAGTGGAAGAAGAAGAAAGTAATTTCAGCTCTCCGCTGATGCTTTGGCTTCAGCAAGAACAAAAGCGGAAGGAAAGCATTGCTGAGAGAAAACCGAAGAAAGGACTTGTCTTTGAAATTTCCAGTGATGATGGCTTTCAGATCTGTGCAGAAAGTATTGAAGGTGAGTGGATTAAATCAGATTGACCATCAGCAGAAGCACTGTTTCAGCTAGAGCTTCATTATATGAGAGTATTAGCACCATTTAGGTGGATGTTTTATGCTAGGTGTTATGGGGGATACCTGGAGGCATTATACATTTTCCTTGTCCTTGAGACGTTTGTCTTGTTGGAGAAATAGCCATATTTTATGTGAAAAGTTAATGATACAGATTATGTTTTCAAGATTGCACACACCTAACAGAGCCCATGAGGACCGTGCTTCCCGCTCCAGCCTCGTCTTTTGCTATTCCCTCGTGCGCCTTCTGTGCCCTTCTCTCCCTTGTCTGCCTTCACACATGCTTTCTCCTCCCTTCCCTCAGTCAACTGGTGAGCTCCAGCCCACCCTTAAAGATCCAGCTCAGATGGTCTTCCCTGACCTTCTGAGGTAGCTAAGCCCTCTCACTCCCTCCTTTTGAATCTTACATGTTCCTCTCTCATAGCTTAAAAGTTGTTTTGTAAATGTTTGTTTACTTTTATCACTCACTCACTCAACAGCAAGCTCTCCATAAGGGCTAGAATTTTATTTTCTTATTCATCTTTGTATCCCAAGCATGTAGGTGTTCATCCACCTTTGAAGGACTAGTAAATGTTCTCTAGACTGTAAGTACTAGAAGAATTCAAAGGAGAGAAAGGTCACCATGGGTGAGTTAGGGTTATCAAAAACCCATAAGATTAATAGAAGATTCTGTTAAAGGAGAAAATGGAATTTGGGTTAGGTAAAGAGGAATGCAGCGCTCTCTAGGAAGAAGAAGGGAGGTCAACAAAGTTAGAAAGACAGGACTGCATTTGGTGGGTTTAGAGTAGTGTCAGGCAGTAGTGAAAGAGAAGATGGGGAAGGTGGATTGGGCACAGGTTTTATAGGGCCTTCAGTGCCAAACCATGAGGGCTTTGGAAACTTGGGGGAGTAAACGGAAGCAGAATTTCAGGTGCTAGCTCTATATAAGACAGGTTGAACTGGAGACACTAAAAGATGAGAGTTCTGCTAGGGTAGAGATGCCCAGTAATAAAGCCTACATTCAGTGGGAAAGGAAAGGAAAGAGGAATGGACACACTTGGTTCAATATGGAGAGGGGAGAGTCAAAGATGACTGTAAAGATTCAGGTCTGGGAACTAAAACAAAAGACAAAACATGGAGAGCAAAGCAGGTAAGTAAGGGGTACGGGGTTCCACAGAAGACAATGACAGGGAGTGGTGTTGAAATCCATGTGGAAATGCCTAGCAGACAGGAAGAGATCACAGAATCTTGGGTTAGAACTGGAAGGGACTGTGAGGATTTGCTAGTTCTACCCCTTAACTTTAAGGAACTGAGAGGTTATGATCTTCCCATAGTCCTGGTTAAATCGTTAACGCTAGTGCTGTTTTGATTAGGGGTACAGGGAACATAACAGCACCGAACATTCAGGTGTGAGACCAGAGGCATGTGAATGCCTTGGGGATTCAGAGGTCGTTTGGAAATGACTCTCCTTAGTACTTTGTCCTCCAACCGAAAGAAGCCCTCATGGGTAGTGCCCCTTTCCAGCTCCTTTCATATGTAATGAACTGATTGAAACTCTAAGAAAAATCACAAAACACTGTTCTAGTAGGGCAAGTTTTCACACTGCAGGGATTCTAAGCACAGTCCCTGTGCACATCGTTGTTATTAAGAAGGGTTTACACGCATATTTTCTGGCTTACAGTTCTCTTTATTTTTCTTTCAGATGCTTGGAAGTCACTGACAGATAAAGTCCAGGAAGCTCGATCAAATGCCCGCCTAAAGCAGCTCTCATTTGCAGGTAATAGCTGGAGGTATTATTCCACTCCTGTCTCAGGATATTCTGGTAAATTGTTTGCCTAATGCAGAGTTGATTCTTTGAAAAAAAATCCATTTTAAAATAATTTTTCACAGCTTTATTGAGATTTGATTCATATCTAGCTCTCCTATCTAAAGCATACAGTTCAGTGGTTTTTCATGTATTCAGCGTTGTGCAACCACCACTACTGTATAATTTCAGAATATTCTCATCATCCTTAAAAGAAACTCTACACTCAGTAGCAGTCATTCCTCAGCCCCCTGGCAACCACAGATCTACTTTCTGTCTCTATAGATTTGATTATTCTGGACATTTTATATAAATGAAATCATATAATGCATGGCCTTTTGTGACTGTCTTCTCTCACTCAACACAGTACTTTCCAGGTTCTTCCCTTCTGTTGTGTCTTCCCTTCTGCACCAGTACTTCATTCCTTTTTATTGCCAAATACTCCATTGTGTAGTATACCATGTGTTGCTTATCCATTCATTAGTTGTGGACATTTGGCTTTTTTCTACTTTCTGCTACAAATAACATTGCCACAAATATTCATGTTGAAGTTATTGTGTAGACATGGTTTTATTTTTCTTCAGTATATACCTCAGAGTGGAACTGCTGGGTCATATGGTAACTCTGTTTAACTTTGTGAAGTACTGACAGGTTGTTTTTTTTTTCTTCCAAAGTGGCCATCCCATTTGACATCACCAACTGCAATGCATGAGTGTTCTAATTTCTCTACCTTTGCCAACATTTTTCTGTTTGTTTGTTTTTTTTATTTTAGATATTGTAGTGTGAAATGTTATATTTTCTTAAAATTGAAATCATTTAGCATTCGTATTAGACTTCA